ATGTTGGATTCCCATTACACACTGGCATTTCATACAGGTGTCTAAGTGACTTAGAATTCATTAGTACCCGTTGGTACTAAGATTGTTGGTACTTAGATTCTTAGTACCTGTTGGTACTAAGTGTGGGCTGGAGACTGGATGTTTGGGACTTACAGTGAAGTGGCAGGTTTGGTACAGTTTAAGAAAATCCTCCAAAGAAACACAGTTAAACCAACTGTACAAGTCCAATAGTGCCCTGCCCGTGTCAGCTCAGCTACCGCTGCCCGACTCCTTACCACTGGTGCGTGCATGTCTTTGCTGGTCGTTTCCTGGATCTCACTTTGCTGAAGAAATTGCAGGCCAGGCAGGCAAGGGAATTAAGGGCTCCTGGGAGAGGCCCTCAAGCAATGGCTGCCCCCACCCCCGTGGGGCTTGAGGCAGGAAACCCTGGGTTTCCAGAGCTTCCTCGGAGGGATTAAGCCTCAGCTTCCCACTGTGCTAGCTGGTGGTGCGCACTTTATGAGTCCCAGTGTCTTCCCCAGCTGATGAGCTTTTTCACTTTCCTTGCAAACTGCTTGCATTCCACTCCTTGGCTGAGGATCTGCTTCTTTGAAACCCAAACTAAGACCCAGACAAAACCCAAACAGTTCCCTTCATTTGTTCTTAGAAAGCATAACACACACATGTTTTTAGAAATAATAACTCAGAAACAAATAGGTTATTTGATTAAACAATTAGTCTCATATCTCAATACAAAAGATGACATCAAAATGACCGTATAGGGGCTGGGGATTTAGCTCAGCGGCAAAAGCGCCTGCCTGGCAAGCGCAAGGTCGTGAGTTCGGTTCCTGGTACCAGAGAAAAACCAAAAAAACACAAAAAAAACAAAAACAAAATGACCGTATAAAGTCTTGATATGCAGCCCGAATCACCAGTTTTTAGAAAATACTCTATTCTGTGTAGAAACATGAAACACTTCTCCACTTTCAGGATGTTTATTGTCTATTTGGAAAGACAAGATGAATACAAACAAAGCATTAATGAATGATGTAATTGATGTCCCAATCTGCGAAGCAGACTACAAGTACTTTTATAATAAGAGCTGACAATAGCAGAGAGGAGCTCCAGGAGGTCTTGTAGGAGGCAGATTTGTGCTGTCTTAGGGGAAGAAGGACAAACCAGAGCAGTTAGAGATCTCACCAGATTACAGGGATCCTGATGATGTCCACAGAAAACCGCTCTAGGTGCAAATGTAATTGGGATTGATTTGGAAAAGCTTAAAATCTGTACAGACATGTCTGCATCCAGGTCACCATTATAAGAAACGTTAAAGGAAGTCTTTAACACAGAAAAAAACCATATCCCGTGGACATTTTGATATAGGAGCAAAGAACAATAACAGTATATTATGCATTCTATAATATATATCGTAGTAAATGTATAATAATAATAGGAAAAATGCCATTATGAGGGACATGGCAGTTTATTTCTGTAAGATTCTTTGTTTTTTGTTGTTTGTTTGTTTTGCTATTTTAAGGTTCTTAAACCATAATTAAGTAATAAAATATTATTTAAGGGCAAATTACAATAAATTAAGTGTACAGTATAAATCTCAAGGCAACCACGAAAAAATAAAACAAAGAGTAAGAAGTCATCAATAAATCATGAAAAAGCAAATATAGAATAAAAATGTGAGTGAATTAAAAAAATAAGAGACAAAGAGAAACCTAAAGGGTTTAAATTCAACCAGATAAACACATGAAATGTAGATGATCTAAATACCTCAATTAACAGAAATGTTCAGACTTGATTAAGAATTAAAACAAAGCAAAACCCAACTATATGCTATTTACATGACATTTACTTTAATCTTAAACACTTAATTAAAATTTAAAAGTTGAAGAAAAAGATATACCAGGCACACAAATTCTAAGCAGAACAAAGGAAGAATGGCTATACTGATATCAGACAAAATAGCCTTCAGAGCAGTGAATATTACTAGGGATATTGAGAATAATTTCATAATAATGAAGAAATAAATTTACCAGGAGACTATATCAATGCTAAATATGAATATCTAGTAACAAGATTCTCAAAGCTCCTAAAACCAAAACTGATAAAATTTAAAGAAGACATAGAGGAAAAATAATACCAACTCTACACACTGTCAGAAAATTGAAAAGAAGGAAGTACCTTCCCAATTCAATCAGTGAGGTCACTGATTAAACAGACACCAAGACCAAAGACATTACAAGAAAATAAAACTACAGGCCAATATCTCTTAGGAAGGTATACAAACTGGACAAAGAGAGGAAGGGAGGAAGGAGAGGAGGCAGAAGAAGACATCAAAATAATTAAGATGTGTTGTCTGCTTGTCCCAACTCCCCGTAATGAGTGTAAGCATTATGTACTGCAAACATTTACTAAAATGAATGCAAATTTAAATTTTTCAACAAATTGAATCCAGTAATATGTTTTTTAAAAATCATGATCAAGTGCAGCTAAACAAAGAATATATAGGTTGGTTTACTATCTGAAAATTAATAGTGTAACTGACTGTATTAGCAGACACATTATGTGACTGTCTCAACAGATGATGACAAAGCACGTGACAAATGTAACTCCCACCCGTGACAAAATTTGCAGCCTGTTAGTGTTAAGAGGGAACTTTCTCAGTACGACAGAGGTCTGATAGGCCGAATAATGCCTCCCCGAAGACATCCATGTCCTAATCTTTAAAACCTGTGAATATTCATTTTATATAATAAAAGGAACTTTCCAGATGTGGTTAAGTTAAGGATCTGAAACAGGGAGGTTATCTTGGATGATCTGGATGGGCCCAAAGGAATCATAAGTGTCCGTATGAAAGCAGGCAGTGATATTAGAGTCAGAGAAAGAAGATGTAAGGAGGACAGGTCAGGTCAGAGAGCAGAGGAGATGCTACACTACTGGCTTTGAAGATTGAAGAAAGAAGCTGAGCAAGAAAAGCAGATGTTAGAAAAGGAAGCGAACAGATCTTTCCCTGCAGCCAGAATACTGACCTGACAACACTTTGAATTTAGCTCAGTAAAATTGACTTTAGACTTGTGATTTCCAGAACTGTCTGGCAGTGAATCATATTGTTTTAAGCTGCCAAACTGGTGATAATTTGTACCTTTAGTCAATATTATACCGTAGGCGCTGGGCATGCTAGCCCACGCCTGTACTCATAACATTCAGGAGGCTGAAGCAGGAGGATTTCTGCAAGTTTAAGACCAGCCTGGGCTACACAGTGAGTTTGAGGTCAACCTATACTACAGGGTAAGACCAAAATAAAAAATAAAAAAGGGCTGGGAATGTATCTTAGTGCAAAGTGTTTTGGTTATATCCCCCATACTGCAAAAAAGAAAGAAAAGAAGGAAGGAAGGAAGGAAAGCAGGAAGGAAGGAAGGAGGGAGGGAGGAAGGAAGGAAGGAAGGAAGAACAAAACAAAACAAAGCACTATACTTAGACCTTAAAACAATAAGGCAGAAAAAGAAATGGAAGACATAAGTTTGGAAGAGAATAAGTAAAAATGTTTTTCACATAGTATGATTATCTATAGAAAAATCAAAGGAATCTACGTAAAACACAAGTGAGTTTAACAAGATTCCAGGATACATATCAAATTCCAAAAGTCAATTATATTTCCATATACTAACAACGAGCAATTGAAAAAACTGAAATTAAGAGAAAAATACCACTTATAACAGCATTAAAATATGAAATATACAAAGGCATATTTGACATAAGATGGGCAGGATCTATATACTGAAAATTAAAAAGAAATGGTTGAGCATAATTAAAGAAAACTTAACTAAAATAGAGGGTATGTGAAGTTCTTAGGCTTTATATAGTTAAGATGTTAATCTCTATAAATTAATCCATAGTTCCACTGCAATCTCAATCAAACTTCTAACAGAATGTTTGTGGAAATCTGCAAGCTTATTGTAAAATCCAAAGGACCTAGAACAGCCAAAACAACTGAAAAAAAAAAAAAAAAAAACCAATGTATTTACTCAGGCTTCTTGTACAAAAAGCTACTAAGAAACATAACCTTACCAAGGTGTGGTGGTGCAAGCCTTTAATCCCAGGACTCTCTGAAGGCCGAGGCAGAGGGATCACAAGCTTGAGTTCAGCTTGGGTAACAGTGATTTAGCAAGATTCTGTCTCAGAATAAAAAATAAAAAAGGGCTGGGGTTGTAGCTCAGTGCAAAGTGTTATGGTTAAATCCCCAGTACTGCAAAAAAGAGAGAAAAGAAGGAAGGAAAGAAGGAAAGAAAGATGGAAGGAAGGGAGGGAGGGAGGGAGGAAGGAAGAGAGGAAGGAAGGAAGGAAGGAAGGAAGGGAGGGATGGAGGGAGGAAGGAAGGAAGGAAGGAATGAAGGGAGAAGAAATGTGAAAAGAAACATACTTTGACAGATTGAGCAAGAAGATGGGACTCCTGAAGAATCACACTTAGTAACACAGACTTTCCCATAAACGATCCTTTTGTCACATTCAGGCTACCCTGGTTCTTAGAGAAAACATTTCACTGAGCCATTGGATCGTCCTCTAAGAGGTCATCCATGAAAAGTTACTTAATGAGGGAAAAGTTACTTTATAAGAGAGTCATCCAGACAGAAAGCTGGTCCTGTTCTCCAGAAAGAAGGACCCATAGATTCTAGGGACCCCTTTCCAGGGGGCAGAGCTTGTCCTCATTCCCAAGGCGCCCTCTTGTCCTGGACACGGTTCCTTCCTGATACTGTGATTCCTCACGCATCCATGCTGGGCTGTGGGTCGATCATGGGCATGAGCCCCACTGTGGGCTCTTCACTCACTGGGGCTCCTTGGCCTCTGAGATGTGCCAGAGGGCAGCCTACATTACCCTGCTTCGGTGTCTACAACGGTAGGAGGGAAAGGTTCATAAGAATGTTGGGGACTGCAGCCTTGGTGGCCCTGGGCATAGGCTGGGGTTGTAGACCTTTTCTTGGTGGTCACGTCTGCTTTTCCTCTGTGTCCAGGTGGATCACTATGCCTTGTTGTCAACCTTGCAGCTGATGTACACCGTGGGATACTCCCTCTCTCTTATCTCCCTCTTCCTGGCTCTCAGCCTTCTCTTGTTTCTCCGGTGAGTAGAACTTCTGACATACAGGTTCCTCCACGTGTCATGGAATTTACTCAATGGCTGCCTCTAGTGGGCCATAGAAGACTGGGCTACCTGGTGTCACAGACCATCAGAAGCGGATGTGGCCTGACAGAACATTGAGTTTGTCCATCTTGTTTGGCCAATGAATGGGAAGAAAGGAGTGTCTAAGTTCAAGTGAAAGGCTAGTAGCTCTAAAACAAGTCCCAGTGAGTATCTAGTGGCCCCAAAGCCAGTGGGTCAGCCACACAGAACTTAAATCCAGGACCTCTGACACTACCTTTGGGATTTATTCGGTGTTCCCACAACCAACCAGACAGGGCCTAACTCCCTGGTCACATCCAGTAACACCACAGACCATTCTTATCAAAGCTCTATCAGAGGTATTATCTTTAAAAGAAAGATTAAGAAATTTCCCCAAGGCAAGTGAGTGGCAGAACTGGAATTGTAATCCAGGGCCCTAGCTATCAATTATTGAAGTGCTTCCTCCTAGCACGTTATGTACATGAAATCATTTAAATCTCATCCCCTTCCAAAAAAACCTCATCTCAATTGAAATAAGATTGATTCTAATCTTAGGTAGTTACTGCTACTGTTGCTCCCATTTTACAAGTGAGTGCTCTGAAACATGGAGAGATAAAGTATCAGGTATGGTCAAAATATAGGATGAATGTGTAAAAGCAAAAATGTATTACATGAAAAGATCCATTGCCACTAATAACCCTCAAAATTCTCTCTCTTCAAACACACTTATCCCGTAGTTCTGCCCACTTTGTGAAGCAGTTTTTGGAAGTTCTCTTTCATGAGCATCTTTACTAGGTATGATAAAAAATACGGTGAATGCTGCTATGGAAAGCCATCTACATGGAAAGGCAGGCTCATAAAATATCACAGTGTTCACCAAATCTGACACTATGTAAATTCTGCTTTTTCCCCAAAGTCAAAATGATCATAATAGGTAAAAGTCCAGACACCGAGGCAGCTATATCAGCACAACTAAAGACACGCACAAAAGAGAACTTCCTCCAGAACTGCTTCAGAAAGTAACAAGAGCAATGGCATAAGTGTGCTAGAAGCAAGGGGGAATATTTGAGAGGGGTTAATGGCAGTGGGTGTTTTACTGTAATCATTTTTTCAATTTAAATACTAACTGTATTTTCCCATCACACTTAGTAACTTACCCAATACCGCCTCAGCTAGTGGGTGATGGAGCCAGAGCCGGGGTTATAACCAAGCAGCCCAGGGTCTGTGCAGTTTCATTCCCTTGTACTGTCTTTCAGAAGTCAAAGGCTTAGTGCATTACTCAATTGCATTTTTAGTCCTTGCTCAGATGAGACACTGATGGAGTTCCCAGGGAGCCCTCTAATGCTGTCCCTTGAACTCAGCCCATTACGGGCCATAAGTGAGGAAAACCTGGCAAGTTAGCATGTGGCACTGACGCAGGAGACTTGGGTGGGGACTCTGGGAACCTGGCTGCTAGTCTCAGAGCAGGTCCTGTCCTGGGCTCTGCTAGCCCAGGTCTGGCTTCATTTGACTCAATTCTAGGAGCAAAGTCATGAACTTCCTGGGCAAGCAATTTGAGCTACAGGAGAATTCTACAGCCCATGCCCACTGATTATCTATTATGACCCTCCACATATCTTTCCAAAGCCCCAGAACCCAGCCAGAAGCAAATAACTGCCGGGCCCTGCAGGAAGTGACTTTTGCTGAGCCTGGGTTGGATAAGTATCTGTTTTGCCTCAGACTCCCAGAGGAGCAAGGCCCAGTCCCCACCTTCAAATCACTTCTGGTCTAGCCAGGGAGAAGAATGCATACATGATAAAACACAAGGACATACCTCGCAACTAAAGATGTGATAATAGCTCTTAAGCAAAGTAGGACAGGGTAGGGGCTGCACAGAAAGAATAGTGGGGGAAAGGTTCTTCAGGCTAGAGAGACTGAGAGTGTGTGATGTCACATCAGCCTGTGTGCCAGAGAGCCAGCAAGATGTTGCAGAGACGGGTAGTGAGAGCTGGCATTTTTCTGGGCACGTGTTACATGCACTTTATAAGAACTAACTGATTTAACTTCCTTCTGAGATAAAGGCCATCATTCTCAGAGGCTGGAGAGCCTTACTGAGCTATACTATGGCCCCAGAGTTTCTGGGCCTGGATATTCACTCTACTGCTTATTGCTCTGGGACTTTGGACAGGCAGCTTGACCTTTAAGCATCAGTGAAATAAGAGTAGCCACTTCTCCAATAGTGGCAAGAAGTAAGGATACCTGAAAGTCCCTGCGGGTGTAAATGGGTTGGAATGTGGCCTGGCATGTCCAGCAGGTACACAGGAGAAGCTAATATTACCCCACTTTATACACGGGGGAAAATGAGGCACAGAAAGGTAAGACCACTCAGCAGTCCAGCTCTGGAGCCTGCACTGTAAAACGTCTTTCTTTAGCCAGGTCAGGCATGTGCCTGCTAGTCTGAGCCATTCTTCACTAAGGGAAGGCACTCGGTTTTCTCTTTGCGCAGGAAACTCCACTGTACTCGCAACTACATCCACATGAACTTGTTTGCATCGTTCATTCTGAGAGCCATGGCTGTGCTGGTGAAGGATGTCGTCTTCTCCAACTCCTACTCCAAGCGGCCCGACAGTGAGAACGGGTGGATGTCCTACCTGTCCGAGGTAAGTTCCTCCCTCATCTAAATGGGCTGAGGAGGGAGAGAGGGAGGTAAACGGGTGTCCAAGACCTTTAAGTTAGAGAAACAGCATGTGTTCTACAAGAATTATAACCTCCCAAGAGTGGGCCAAGTCAAGGATTCAGGAGCAGATGGGTTTACCACCTCTGCTGTGAGTTCCTGGGTGGGCAATTTTTCACCTGTATGTAAAATAATTGGACCAGATTAACATTTTTTATAATTACTTTTTAAAGCAGCAAGGCTTTTCCACATTGAAATATACATCAGTAGGGTTGTTTGTCTAGTAACTTGTTGTACTAACATTGCATTCCTAATTTGCTAATATTTCAGTTTGCTAATACTGTGTTTTGTTTAGTATTTCTTCACTGACATTTGTGAAGAAGACTGGCCTATAATTTTCTTTTCTTGTAATACCTTTGTCAAGTTTTTGTATCAAGTTTGTGCTGACCTCTTAAAATAAATTGGTATGTGTTTCCTCTTTTACTATTTCTGGAAGACTTCGTTTAAAATTTATATCATTTCTTACTTAAAAGTTTGATAGATTATACCAGCAAAGCCAACTGGACATAGAATTTCTGTATTAGAAGGTTTTGAATTATAGGTTAATTATGAATCTTATGTTTTCTATTCTGGTGTCAGTGATAGTAATTTTTTCTAAGAATTTGTTTACATAATTCATCTAACTTTTCAACTTTATTGACATAATATTGTTCATGGTATTCTCTTTGGATCTTGTTAAAGTCTGTTGGGTCTGTAATTGTGTTCTCATTTTCACTCCTGATACTGATTATATCTTCACTCTTTTTCTATTTGATCCTATCAGAAATTTCTCAATTTTATTGAAATTTTCAAAGAACAAACTTTTGGCATTGTTGATCTCTCTTATTAATTTCTGGTTCTATGTTTTATTTTTATTTTTATTTTTATTTTTGTCTTTTTGAGGCAGGGTGAGGCTATGGAGATCAGACTAGCCTTAAACTCACTTTGTAGCCCAGGCTGGCCTTGAACTTGCAGCAATCCTCCAGCCGCAGCCTCCTGAGTGCTAGGATTACAGGTGTGCACCACCACACCTGGCTTCTGTTCTATTCTTATTTCCTTCTATGCACTTTCTTTGGATTCAATTTGCTATTCTTTTTCTTCTGACTTTTCTGGCATGATTTTAGATAACCAATTTTCAGCTTTTTTATTTTAAATAAATGTACTGGAGGCTGTAAGTTTCATTCTAGAGTTGCTATTAGATGCATACCACAAGTTTGGTATGCAATATTTTCCTTACACTAAGTTCAGGAATATTTTCTAAATGTTGCAATAATTTCTTTTCAATCTCTGGGTTACCATATGTCTGTTGTCTCATTTCTCATCATATAAACATATTTAGTTACTGATTTCTAGTTTCACTGAGCTGATATTAGAGAAATCTTTTAGTGTTTCCATTTGGGCAGGTGTTGATGATGACTGTTGTCTGTTTTTGTTTAAAAATGACTAGAATATCAAGAAAGAGCTGGTCTTTACAAGATGAACCCCTTTTGATGTTTTATATCATTGCCAACTACTCTGAGATGACCAGCAAGGGCTGGGGAGGACAGGGGAGGGCTTATGCCTCAGGAGACCTTTCTGTGTCCACTCAGAGTCCAGGTTCTGGGAAAGCCAGGCCTCACCTTCAGTTATTCTGCCCTGTAGGTGTCCACCTCCTGCCGCTCTGTCCAAGTCCTCCTGCACTACTTCGTGGGCGCCAACCACTTATGGCTACTGGTCGAAGGCCTTTACCTGCATGCACTGCTGGAGCCCACAGTGCTTCCTGAAAGGCGGCTGTGGCCCAGATACCTGGTGGTGGGTTGGGGTGAGTGACATGACTTCCCAGCCTCCTCTCCTGGGGACTCATCAGAACACGGGAGCCCTACAGAGTCTTGGGTTAGAGTTTGGAATCCAACTAGAGGACAACTTCTGGGACAGATAATTCCTCCATGACAAGAAACTCTGAAGAGAAGTATGTGCGTGCGTGCGTGCGTGCGTGCGTGTGTGTGTGTGTGTGTGTGTGTGTGTCCTGCATATGTGCAGGTATGGTATGCCCAATGCAAAAATGGAAAGGTCTTTGGTGACATCAGATAACAACACAACGCTTCCAACTGCATTAGTATGCCTTACCATAACAAAATACTTGTGTGGCTTAAACAACAGACACTGATTTTTCACAGTCCTGGAGACTAGGAAACCCAGCACAAGTGTGTTCTCATGAGGGTGCTTTTCCTGGCTTGCTGACAAATGGCTTCTTGCAGGGAGGGTGGGGGGGGAGAAAGAGGGAGGGAGGGAGAGAAGGAGAGGGAGAAGGAGAGAGAGA